TAGCTCTGTAAATATACATATAGATATAATATATATGTAATACATAAACTTAAGTCCTATATAATATCACTATTCTACATATATGAAATACATAAGTCAGAAATTATTATACAATTAAAAAACATTTTATTCATTTGAAATAAATTAAGAAATAGAGAGTATTTTTTAAAATAATCAATAATTACCAATTTTCCAGTTTCATATAATTGAAATCTTTATAGATAAAATATATATAAAAATTTTCCCCCAATTGAATTATAAAAATATTTAATATGAAAATCATAAAATATTCTTAATGATTTTTATTTATTAAAAATATCAAAAGAATTAAAAATATTTAAATAGGAAAATTTATAAAAGATACAAAGAAATTGAGATTTATTTCACTTTTATATTCTCTATCTTAATCTACTTTTACATACACATGTATACACAGAGTGTTTCACATAAAGTGGCAAATAGTTTCAGCGATCATTTTTTGATCAGCTTCGAGCCAAAAATTGAGGAGGAGAGGTTTAATTTCGCATTTGAAAACATGCGGAAATGTAAAGTGATTCTTATCACTTCAAAGATACTCGTATATAGAAGAGTGTATTATGTAAGAAGAAGAAATAGAAACAAAAGGGTAAAAATAAACAATTGTGAAAATTATATGAATATTTTTTTATTTAAAACACTTATTTGTTTCAGATTTTTTCCTTTTCTTTACTTGGATATGTTATGTATCTTAATACCATATGTAAAATGTTATCTACCTCTCATTCTTTAAGTAGCCCAAATTTAAAACACGAAACTCACAAATTATTCATTTTGACAAATCAGTCACCTAATCGAATCTATGTACTTGATTTTGTATATGTATTACAATAACGTAAGTACCTCTTTTTCAGATATACTAAACTTAAGAACAAATACAATATATTGTACAAACATTTTATTTTTCTTCGAATATAAAAATTTTAAATTAAAATAAAATAATCATTAAGCGTACCACCACATGACGGTATAGTAGTATAATGTAAAAGAGAAATTTTAATAATTCATATTAGAATCAAACCAGATTCCTACAAAATTTATTTTAAAAGGAACTCAAACATTTAAAAATATCAAAGTTCATGTAAAAAGCAAAATTTTTTGTGTATAAAATATTTTTCCCCTGGTATAAAGAAATGTACATATTAAGTTTTCTTTATATACTTATTTACAAATACTATAAATATTAATATGAATTTATTGCGACCGAAATCAATTTACCATATACTCAGCTCCGTAAAATAAAACAATTAAAACTATTATAAAAATTTCTATATAAATAATTTTTATTTCTAACATTACAAAATTAATTAGCTTATTTAAAATTTAAGCTACTTTACTTCCTTTTTATTACAATAATTTTAATAAAAAAATATGAATACAAATTTAAATACACATACGCAATAACATAATATACGAGTACAACATTTTTACCCTTAATTTAATTTGATTTAACACGCTACTTTTTAATTTATATGATGGTATATAATGGTATACACACTTAATAATTTTTAATAACCATGTGAAATGATTTAAAATTTAGCAAATGTTTAATAGATTTAAAATGTAAAGAAAAATGTTAATATGTAAATTTTCAAGTACATTATAGTAAATATAACCGAGAACCTGCACCTAATACGAATTTGAAAAGGAAATCAAATTTTACTTGCTATTTTTGTTTTTGTCTTTGTTTTTTGTATTTTTCAAGTATAAACTAATGAAAAACATTAACACGAGTATACAAAACACATCATCGCAATGAAAGAAAATGGTTAAACCCATGTTATAAGTAATTTCCTAATATAAATAAAAGAAAAACTGAAAAAAATAAAAACAACACAAAGAGTAGGGAAACTTGTTGCATACAAGAACTTTTTGTCAGCAATATTATTGTATACAAAATGTTGCTAGACATTTCACATTGGAATAATTGGAATATTATTTGGAAAAAGAAAATGCTGTGTGTGAGTGAGAAAAGCTTTTATTTTTGTATTGGAAATTTTAGTACAAATTTTTTTTTTTGAAAATATGCCTAACGTTTGCTTCACCACCATTTCTTCTCAAATTTTCAGTAGAATACTTCTGTTTCCTAAGTAAATCTTAGTTGCAGGAAATGAACTATATATGTATTATGAATATTAGAAATTAAATCGTCGAATTTCGAGATTTTAAAAAGGTCTCCTCTTCGTTTTCTAAATAAAATAATATTCATTGAAAAAAAAATACATTGGTAAATTTTTTGTAATCGTTTTGAGGTAGCTGTACTTATTTTAAAAATTAAAAACAAATGCTGGAACGAAGTAATGTACCCTATAGTTTGATTTTTTTATGAATGTGAAACCGTATATCTACACATTCCGAATATTTAAAAAAATAAACTGAAATGAATGGTTTTAAATAAAAAGTAAAAATTGTGCAGCAAGAATTTTTGGTTTTTGCTGAGCTTTTGGTATTTTCATGGCGTTTCCACGTTTAATGCTTTCTGAATAAAAATATTGGAAGATAGTTCTTTTCCTCTGATGACAATTACATAAAAAAACATTTTTGTTTATTTTACATTTTTCATTATAATTCTTCTAAGCTTGTTAATATTATTAAAATAATACACGAGAATGGTTAAGTACTAAGGCGCATATAATATTCATATAAATTGTCCACTTTTATATTTTTGACACAGTAATTAATTTTATTATTGAAAACCAACAAATTATGTCTATATATGTTCAAATTATATCTTTTATTTCGAACTTTGTAAATATAAACAACTCCAACTTTTTTCTTATCTACATTCATTCTTCTAAGTAGCCCATACTGTTTACACTGGCTAATCTGCCATTTTTTTTTTCTTATTTATACTTATTTTAGAAACACAATAAAGAAAATAAATCCAAACCACTTGAATACCTACATATAAACCTAAAGTGCCTTTCCTATATTCTAAGGTACCTTTCTTACTCAAAAGGACGAAAGTTTATGTTTTGATAACAAAATATATAAAATATGGTTTTTCTTTAAATATTGTAGCTTCAGTAGGATGAGAAACAAAAAATAAGTATAATCTTATATAATTTAGAAACGTTTTCAATTTTGCACGCACCAATGTTGGAGAAGAACATGAATTATCACTAACACTAATAAATTAGGAGTTTTATGAAATTCAAATAATTTTACTTAACTAAGTAAATAAAGTATGTATTTTATAATACATATACATTACACGTGTGATCTTTGTCTGAAAGAAAGATAAAAAGAAAACAAAATGCTAACATTGCACGATTTTCATCAGTTGCTTGGTGCAGCTTCTATATAAATTGCTTGATGAGCTACTCTCTGGAAATTTCATATTTCTTTGATAAATTTGAAGGCAGTTAAACATGCTAATATACATATAAAAACTCCATTATCACTCTTTTGTAAATTTTCAATGTTATGTAATCACGTAAATAATTACCAAATCGTTTTAATTAAATATAAAAATACATTGAAAGAGCTATGTGATTTTAATTGAAGACAAAGCTTAACCATTCAAGTACAAAATTTATGAAGAAGTACAAAATCAAATGAATGTTTCTATTGAATAATTTATAGAAGCAACAAATTAATTGCACATATGAGAACTGTACAAGAAAAATCATATTAAAAATGATTTAATAAATAATTTATTAAATGCCAGAGATTTAACATTAAGGAAGACCATTTTGGAGCTATACCAAATTTTTCGGAGCTATTTAAATTATCTCTAATTTTGCTAGCCGAAAATTTGAAATTTTAAAATAGCCGAAGTTTCATATGAAATAAATTCCACTGCATGGTAAATTTTTAATAAAACAATACCATATATTTAAAAAATTATCATATATTTAAAATTTACTAAAGGAAATGTCCTTTGCTCTTTTTTTTTTAATTTTTTTTTTGATTTTTTATTCTACAATTTATAATTTAATATCGACTTAATCATATCCTTTTCAAGTCTTAAATTAAATCGGTATATTTTATAAAATACAAAAATTTTCATTGCATACAAAAAGAGAAAGCGCGCTCATATATATATATATATATATATATATATATATATATATATATGTGTGTGTGTACATAATATAGGAAAATTATACCACACCCCTACAAGAATACTGTCACAACATGAAATTTACTAAAAATGAAATAACGGCAAAACAAAATAGATTGGATTCGCGTTTGCAGTTCTAAAACAGATTTGAAATGACAGCATATTTTTGTAGTTTGTTGTAAAAAGCATTCCGTTTTTATTAGTAGAACTGCAGAAGATCTCAAATTTTTTTCTGCTGTTATAGCGATAGTCTCAATTAGTATATTAGATAATAGATAATAGTAATATTGATACCAGAAATTTTGTCAGCAGCACTGTTTTAGTTCTATTGCAGTGCAGTTTTAACTAATAAGATTTCTTGCAGTCAGAAGTGCAAATGCCAATTCAACCATATATGATTTCATCTTCAATATATCTAGGTTGCCAGTATTTTTAGGTGAACCCTTTAATAAAACAAATTTTCGAACCAACTAGATACTATACTTAAAAGTTTTGGACTATATTTGCAAGTCTCAAAAAAAATTTTTAAAAAATGAATATTTTTTAAGTAAGAAATGGCAGTGTTCATAACAGCAGTATAAGATTACTTGGAGTACTTGATAACATAAATTTTAGTCTAAAAATTTTTCAAACTTAAATTAATAAAAATTGTTGCAGCATTATTTTTCTAGCGATGCGATATCCTTGCACTTATGTATCAAAGAAATGCGAACCATAAAAAGTTCCCTTCTTTTTTCTTTGTGCTGTATCTTTAAATTTTATTAGCAAAAGATTTTGGCAAATTGTTTATTGTAAAATAACGCAAAAAAAAAACAAGGGAAGAAAAACAAATTAAAAACACATATTATACACAAGAATAAATTATGAAAAATGAAATGAGGAAAAAAAACAGATAAAACAAAAATAAAGAACAGAATTTTATTTTTTAACAAAAATATAAAAAGGACTTTAATGGCTTAGAAAAAAAAAAGTTTTTGTTTTATTTCAAAAAAAAATCTTATTTTGTATTCTGCTTATCCTATGAAAAAATCTTCATAAACGTCTCCAAAATTTATAATTCTGTGATCCTCTTGAAAAAAATTATTTTTTTATGTTTCACATACTTTTTCCTTTTGTATTTTTACTTTTTATTTTTCCTTATAGTAATTTTCTCACACTTCATATTTCGGAAATTTCTCTATGTTATGATTTTTAATTTTCTTTTCCTTTTGTTTTTTATTATTATTAAACTTTTAATTTAATTGTTTTCTTTTCTAAATTTTTATTAACAAAAAATTTCTTATTCAAATTTTGAATATTTTTTTTTGTTTTTAAATGAATTTTCAGGTATTTCATTAAAAACGAATTCAATGTTATCGTATAAAATAAAATTAATCAAAATTTTCATTATTCAATACAATCAAAACTTCATTGCAAACAGATATTTTAAACTAAACATATAACTATTATATATTATATGTATAATTAGTTAGTATAACCAACTAATATAACTATTTTTATATAGGTATGTTTAAAGAATTTATAATATTTCAATATCAACCGAAAAAATTCAAATACAATTATTTTATATTTGCAATTAATCTGTAAGCTGACCCTAACTCTATTAAAGAACAAATTAAGTTTCTTAATCTGAAAAATGTTAGTCGAAGTCTAAATTTTTACAATTAATATAACATTTTATAATTAAAGTATGTAATACGTTCTATTATTCTATTGGAAATTTAAAATCACCAAATAATTCTAATGCATTTTTTAATTTTTGTAGTCCTGGTATATTAAACTTTTGATAGCAGGATAATTTTTTCATTTCTTCAAACCATTTAAATAAATATGGCCAATCGTCATTCACATGAAATATCAAGTCAACTGTACTCAATGTTGTCACAATTGAAAAATCTGCAATTGTCATCTAAAATAGAAATTATATTCATTTTATCAGAAAGAATTAAAATATTAAAGTGTACAAATACACATAACACAATTACATTACATACATTATTACTCTACTCTAAATAATAACTTCTTATGAATACAAAATTATAAATAACAAAGTATTGTAATTTACTTAAATTTTCTATATTATTGTGTTTAACTGAAAATACAACTTACTTTATTTGATGCCACATATTTCGTTTCAGTTAGAAATATTTCTAGCATCGAATATACTTCTAGAATTCTTCTTTTATGCGCTTCAAAGTCAACATTCTTTAATTTCATTTTAATGATTTCAGACTGAAAAGAATTTTTAAAATATGTAAAAGCAAGTGAGTAACTAATAAAGCCCTTAAGGATTTTAAAATTTATTTTTTACAAGGATTATTTAAAAGTTTATTGACATAATATGTATGTATGTACTTATGTATACGTATAAGATATCGATTTTGTGAAATATAATTCTTATTAAATTTTAATATAAAAATGAAATTGTAAATTAAAAACTGTCAATTTTAAGCATTTTCAGTTTAATTATACTTTTAATCTAATTCAACACTTTCACAATTAAAGAATTAGAAATTTAAAAACCCTTAAAAAAATTTATTTGTAAGTAGGTACAGAACTGTGTAATACAACTATGTATTAATCAAAATTGATAACAGCACCAGAAATGAAAGAATCCTAACAAGAGAGTACCTACATTAGTGAACTAAATACAGCGAATACAGGCTTTAATGATAAGCAACAAGTAATTTTAAAAATACATGTACATTCATTATATGCATATCTACTTGTGTTTGAAGATTGACGAAAACTAAATTAAAACAAGATATGTATATGTATGTATGATTGATTGTGAAAGCTGATAGAATTATCTTATTTTTTCCATTAAACGCGATTTCATTATGATCGTCCAAAAAAGAAGTCTATTTAATATTATGCCATCTTCCAATAAAATATTGCAAGTATATCTTTAATAAATTTCATAGCCTTTACTCTGAGTATATGAAAGCTAGAAAGATGTAAAACCTTTTTATTTAAAGATATTTATGTAAAAACCTAGATTATACACATCTACATTATGTACATATTTTGATAAAATACCACAATAAATGTTGATTACCATAAAATCACTATCTCTACGGAATAATACAGAAGATTCAAAAAACATTTTATCAATAATATTCAATTGTTCCAATCGACCACTAAAATATAAACAATTATTTTGATTTTGATATTTTTCACTCAAATAAATTAATATTGTATGACTATCTCTTAATACAATTTCGCCATCTAATAAAGTTGGCACAGTATGTACGGGATTTATCTGAAAACAAAAACATTAATTGTAATATTCATTTTTTTACCAAGTAAAATTTAAATCTACCTTTAAAAAATCTGAACTTTTTTGTTCACCTTTAAATAAATCAACATATCTTAATTCACATTCTATTCCCAAATGATCGATCAACATTAAACAACTACGTACTGGTGGACTACGATCATCATAATATAAAATTGGTTTCATATTTCACTTTCAAACTTTTTTCGACACAAAAAGCACAAATACAAGCATAAAAACTTATTTAAAAATACAATAATATAAAATTTCTTTGGTATTCCGATTTCCGAAAATGACTGTGAGAGCATGAAATCTCAGAGAAGACTAAATTAAAGCCGGGTTGAATGAAAACTTTTTATGAATAATTAAAAGTTGCTTTCAATTTCATTATTACGTAAAAGTAAAACTGATTTGAAAATTAATGAATTGTGTGGTTAGTTAACATTTTTTTTAACTAACAGAACGCCCTGCGTAAATTAGAATATTTAGTAAGTATGCACATGTTAACCGCAATAAGATCTTGGTTTTATATTATTACATAATAATCTTAGATTCAGAAAATTGAGATAAAACTGTCTATGTCTTTAAATTTAATATGTCAATACAAACTTATTCTTTAAAATATAAAATATATTGCATTTTCTTCTTAAGAAATACAAAATTATTATTTTGTAACAAAATTTAAAACAATTTTCAATAGAACTAATATAAACTAAATTTTTTGTCATCTTCTCTTACTCATCATCAGAAGATTCTTCATCAAGAATCCTGCTAACTTTTCTCTGGTGATTTTCACTTAATGTAAATGAGTTGCGTATTTTTTTTGCTATTTTTGAACTATCAAAACCATTTTCTGCACCATATTCCAGACAGTTGATTGCTTCACTAGGTTTTTTTTCTTTAATACATAAATCTAAATATGATTCAATTGATTCCGATGATGGTGTACCTGGTATTAAATGTTGATTTTTATCAAGTTTTTTAAAAACTTTTTGTGCATCTTCCCAACGATTAGAATCCGACAATAGTTTTAAAATATCACCTAATAGCTTTCCAGTAAAATCACTTTTCTTTATTTTCGCATTTTCGGATTGTTCTTCTATTTTTGTAAAAATATCCATAGCGATTTCACCAAATTTTTCTGTTAAGTTTTGCTGGGATACGTCTTCTGGATTTGGTTTATTTTCAACCATCATTTTCAAAATCATTGTAACCAAACTTTCACGATTTATATGATCAAATATTACCATATCCGACCATATTTTTGGAATATACTGTAATCCACCATTAACATCAAGTGCTTTTAAAATTTCTGACATAATTCCCGGTTCTGGGATATAAACATTAGGAACCAAAAGATCATAAATTTTCATAAACTCTTCTAAAGGTTCAGTTTGACAAAGTAAAGCGAAATAATGTCTATAATATATAGATTCTTTATTTGGATCTCCTATCAAATCATAGTTATTTCCAACATGTAAAAGTTCATTTACTCTCTTTGCCAAAATTTTATCATGTAAATGATTTCTGCAAACATCCATGGCTGTTGCAAAAAAATATGTGTCTTTGGGATCTTGTATTGTGAACTCTTTATGTTGAATTTCATTTAATATATCTACGATAACATGTGATACTGGTCCTCTTTCACGACAAAATATTATAAGTACATAATACCAAGTTGCGAGGCAAGGTTCTATGCCAAGTTTCTTAAACTCAGATAAAGTTTTCAAAGCACTATTTCTAGCAATACGTAAATTTCCAATAGAACTTATAGTGGCCAAAGTAGCATTTAAAGTGTACAAATTTGGTTTTAAATTATGTTCACTCATTTGTTTTAATATATCTTTTACTAGTTCCCATTTTAAATCTGCTGTATCTTTCAATAAATTCGCAACTGATATTATAGCATTAAATGTCTTAGTATCTAATTGAATTTGTTTTTCTAAAGCTTCCTGAAATAATGCATAACCCCTTTCTGCTTGGTAATATTTGCACATTCCACGAATAATGGCAGAGTATGTTTCAGAAGTTTTTGGTTCTATTTCTTTGAAAATTTGTTCAGCTATATCCCCATCTTTCCATGTTCTTCTACTTCTTTCTTTTTGTAAGCTTTCTTGCTTTAACCAATATTCTTCAAGAAATTCATCAGATTGTAAGTCTTCATTGTTACAAAAACAAACAAGCTCTAATACAGCTTGTTTCATTTCATTTGATATTTCTATGTTTTTCGTTTTCATTAATTTATATACAAAAATAGCATCATTTGTTTCACAATTATTTACCAAATTTCGCAAACATTGTTCATCCACTTCGGATTCTTCGGTAAATATCATTTTTGGAAAAAAAGCCGGAATTGGTGGATCTGCATTTTTATGCTTAAAAATAAAAAAATATTGAGAAATAATTCAATTTGAAAATATCTTTATTCTAACCATAAATAAATCCCTGTGTTCCTCTCTAATCCATCTAGCTGCTTTTCTTCCCGATTCCTGTGCCATAGCATAAGTTTTCTTTGTTAAATTTGAAGTTGGTATTAAAAAAGGATCATCATGGTATTTATAATGTGCTGCAGTTGGATCATCACCAACTGTAGATGCTAGTGCTTCCAAAATCGCAGTTGAACTTCTTTTAATTCGATTTGGTATACTAATTTTTTTGTTTGCAGCAGAATTTTCATGGCATGATGGACTAATTTTTAAATATCTAACCCTCGTATTTCCTGATAGTGATATTTTCGAATAACTTGTAGTAGCAAAAGAAACACTTTTTCGAAATAAAAACATTATGTCTTTTTTAGAAATATTTAACACAAAATTATTGTAACTATTCCAAAATTATTTCTTTCCTACTAAGAAAAATTAATTATTGAGGTTAAATTTCATTGTTGTGACATTAAACATCAGGAATGTTCAACTACTAGTGTAATAAGGAAAATTGATATTTATTGTCAAACTCCCTTTCGACAATAATATTAACTTTGCCTTGTGTTGTAGAATATTGACATGTCTCCGAGCATTGTTATTTCCAATTTTAAATAACTTTTCATTTCTTTTACATTATTTAAGTAAATATACAAAAATTTTGCAAAATTATATAGAATTGGTAATATTGTAAAGTTGCTTCTTTATTATTTGAAAAATAATGTAAACAAAAAATGTAAAAACGTGAAAATTGAAGAATAATATTTTTTTCAGAAATTAAGCTGGAAGTACCACAAAATAATACGTTTCTTAAAGTTAAAAATTGCTTTACTTATATTCATTCATACAAAATAGCTTTAATGTCAAACGCTTTCATTATCTACGAAAAGTATTAATGTATGTAAATAAGAAGTGAGTAGTTTCGAAAATTGAAATATTTAGTTATTAATTTTAGGCTTTAAAATAAAAAGTTTGTGTTTATTTTCAGCTATCTGAAAAATGAATTAAATTAGATTTGTTAGGTTTCGTATTCGATCGCTTCGTTCAATCAAATTGTTGATATTTTTAAATAATAACAATAATTTTTAATAGTTCAGCGTAGCTATGTAATTGTAAAAACATAACCAAAGCGATGAAAAGCAGCGGCGGACGATTTCTGTTCTTAGGGGAACCGCAAAATCAACTATACAGCATTTTGTATATAATGTCACACAAACATGGAAACAGATGTCAAAAAAAAACGCCAGCGATGAAATAGGAATTCATACTTTCGCCCGCGGTGATTCTGGGCAATCCCATTTTAATAGGTGTATTCTATATGAATTCTGATATTGGTGTTCGGCAGGAAATTAAAAGAACAATTTTTTTTTTTTTAATTTTTGATGTATTACAACTAAGTCAATAGACCTATCTAGTAATCTTGTTTTCTAAATATGCAAGGACACGGTGAGCCGAACTCATCGGTAGCAAGCCCCCAACGTTTCTAACAATGCCATACTGCAACTAAAAATAATTTATACTATTTAGCGAGCCAAATCAAAGGGCGTTGATCTCTTAAGTCTCCTATTTGGATTTGCTGGGACGAGCAGCTTTTGAATCTCGTCATTTGGATGTTGTGTAGCCCTGGCCTTATGGTTTGAAGCTTGAAGTGTAATCTCTTCACGTACAGTGTTAATTTTTAAATCTCGATGTATGACGTCGTTCTTTACATACCATGGTGCCTTTACGATGTTTCTTAATACCCTATTTTGTAGTATTTGTATTGCAGAATAGTTGGTTTTTTTAGTACAACCCCACAGTTGCAATCCATATGTCCATATTGGCTTGATAATTTGATTGTAAATCAGTAATTTATTGTTGATGTTAAGTTTGGAATGCCAACCAATTAACCATTGAAGTTTTTGTATTTTTAATTTCATCTCTACTTTTTTCTTTTTGATATGCTCTTTCCATTTTAATTTAGCATCCAATGTCATGCCTAGATATTTTGCTGTATTTGCATAAGGTACCTGGGTAGAGTTAATTTCGATTGTAATTGGATCAACTTTCTTGTTGGTGAAATTGGTGTGGGTAGACTTCCCCTCATTTAATTTAATTCTCCATATTTGTGTCCACTTAAAAATATTAGTAGTAGCACTTTGTAGTTTTTCTGTGGCCTCTTCAACTGTACCCCCCGTAGTCAAAATCGCCGTATCATCCGCAAAAGAACAATAAACTGATAAACTACCAAAATTTTTATTGTCACATCGAGTTTATAATTTTTCCCAATCAACAAAACGAGCTGGTGCTAGTAAGTACCGCGACACTTTAAATTTTTTTAGACTCTTTTTAGACTCAAGTATACAAATGAAAAATAATTGGTGTGAAAATGAGAACATTTTTTTTGTATCACAGAATATATTTTTATTATGTGGTTTTCTCATACAATACATATACAGTACAATTTTTAAATAACTACAGTATTGGTAAAAAATATTTTTTCATAATTTATTTTTTTTTTGTTTTTTTTTTTTTTATTTAAGTTTTCAAATTTCAAATTACATCAAATAACTTTTTTATGCAAAGTCAATTTGTTTTACTCGGATACAATTTATTTTTGTTTTTTACTTCAATTATAAAACTAATTTTAATTATTGATTTTAATTAATTTTTTTTTTTAAATAACTTCATTTTTATAAATATGTATAGTACTTATATACATGGAATTATATTATGTAGTATTGATGATAAGTTTAAAAAAGTAAATGCTAAGATATGGTTCATTTTATATAGAAAAATAATTACATACGTTAAATATACATACATATATGCATACATTTATAAATTTCAAAAAACAAAAAATCTCTTTAATTCACTTACAAATAATTATTTATTTTAAATATAAAATCATATAGGTTATCATTATTTATAATATACATAAAAAATTAACATAAATTTCTACATTAAATCCCCATAAGAATGTTTTAAAGTTATGTGTATGTAATTATAAAGTTTTATCTTTTAGTATCAATTTTATGGCAAGAATGGAATATTTTTCTCCTTTTGGAATTATAAATTTTCTTTCTTTTCTCATTCATATATTCAATTATTACTCTTATAGCACATTTGTAATGCCTTTATCATACATTTCTTAATAACTAATTGAAATAAAAATAGAACAAAACCAATACCTTTTTAATTTGGCACTTACAAAAAATAATACAACTTACAAAAATAATTACACTTACAAAAAACAATAAAATATAATGACTCTAACCAATTATTCGTTGTAAAATTAATTTTTATTAAAATAAAATCTCAGAATTGAATTAAACTAAACCAGATCATCGAATTACAAAGACGTTTCATATATTTCATAAATTAAAATTTAAATAATTAAAAAACTAAATTCTATTGGTCTTGAATACAATTTTTATTTGATATTACAACTTCGCTACGTCCTTTATCCTACATCGATTTCAAATGGAACGATACAAACATTTTTTATTTTCCCAATTATTCGAATAAAAATTAAAAAAATTTGAAAATATGTTTTGAAAATTGAATAATAGTATTGTTAAATGTAATTTAAGCATTATTTAATTTTCAATTGAATAAATCTATTCAAATACTTTAATAGAATTTCTTATGTGCGTAAACATATTAATAAAAATGTATTCTCAAATATTGGCTTTATTATTTTATTAATAAATGTTAAACAAAGTTAACAAAACTTGAATTAATTTCTATTCATAATTAATTTACCTTGACGAAATAAAATCATATATTTCTCAAATACAAAATTAAATTGATTTAAAAATTTATATTCACTACTTGTATATTTTAATTTGTTTCATTTAAAATCAGTTTATGATAAATTATAAATTTAATAATGAAAGTTTTATAATTAATAAAATTATAAAATTAAATAAAAAATGTTAAAATGTTTATATCATTAATCATTCATAGCTCCATTGTAAATACAAATATAATAAGGAACTTATTAATTACTTTCCAATTTAAAAATAAAAAAAAACAATCACCAATAGATTATTAATTGAATTATAGAAAACTATTAGACTTGTAAGTTTTCTATTTTGGCAAATAACACTTATTTTTATAAATTATTATAATTTATGACTAGGTAAACAAAAATGAAATTAAAATATTTAGTCTTTTACTAAAAGTATTAACTCAACTTTTTTTGCATTAAATTGTTTTTAAAATTATTATAAAATGTGAAAATGTTTTAATATTTGCTGTAAATGAAAACCATTAATGATAAATATTAAATCAAAAAATTAAAAAAAAAAAATTAAAAACCAAAAAAAAGAAATAAACCTATAATGTGAAAAAAATAACTAAGCATATTTTTTATGCAAATACACAATGGTCAGAATCTAAATCACTTTCAAAAAATTGACTTTCATTTCATACAGAACACATAAATTTTATAAAAAACAAATAATCTAAAGACTTTCGTTGCGAGGAGGTGGTGGGTAAAGATAATCAATTCACATTATGCAACACCATAAATTCCGATGGGATTACATAGATAATACGGTGGATAAGGTAGCTATTATTACAAAAAAAAGAAATCAATAATTTATTTATATATTTAAAAAATTGAAAAAGTATAAATGGTTTTAATACCTTTAAAAATTCTTGAATACTTTCTTTGTCCTTATAAAATATTTTCAATTTTAAACAATTATGAGGATTTAAAAAACATATTTTTTTTTAACTATTCTTACATTATAATATTGCAAATATATTTTAATAATACATACATTTATATTTAAATTTTCAAAATAGTTAGGGTTTTTTTTTACTTTTGCTTTCCTTTTCAATTATTTAAATATTGAAATTAATACGAGAATACAAGATATGTGAATATTTTAAAACAAACAAATATGTAGTAACACAATCTTATTTACTATACAATAAAATAAATAATATAAACAAAAATTATATATAAAAAATATCTTTGGTATTTTATGCGTTGTTTATAAAATTTTTAAAAATTTATTTTATTTCTTTTCTTCAATTTTTAATTACATACTCATTATGTCTTATCGAAAAATATGTGTAATATTCTTTTTTTTTTTTTAATAATAAATAGTTTTATTTAATTTTTTATTTCTTCTTTCTTTTATTATTTATGTATTCTGAGATATGATTGAAAATGTAATTTATTTCAGTTGATTTAATTTATTTTATTTAATTATTTATATTTATATAACATATGATTTTCTTTTGTATTTATTATTAAATAGCAGATAAAGTAATATATTTAATTTTGTGATTAGTCTTACAAATGGATTAACTTTTTATAAAAGATAATAATTCATTGTCGTCTTCTCAATTTTTTTATTTTTTACAAAAAAGAATTAAAAGTGTTTTACTTAATTAAAGTCTGATAACTATAATGTGGAAGCAAAAAATATATTTTAATATATTTTAATATACTGTATAGTCCCCTCCATTTTTTATATTTATAAATCTGTGTTAAACAAAAGTGAATGTGGTTGACTCTAATTTCTTGGCTCTGAAACTTTGTAATGAAAACCTTTTTTTATTTACAATATAGAATTCAAGGAATATCCGATTTAGAAATTAAAAACATTTGGCTGACTCTTGATCTAAGCAACAATTTCCTAATATTAACACATTAGAATTAGATTAACATACTTTAGATGAAAGTTCTTTATGCTATTAAAATTCGCTTTTGTATTTAATGAAAATTTTAACACCTTTTAAAAATTACATTCATTCCAAATCCATATCGAAATAATATAATTATCAGACTTCAATTGATTCTTAAAAAATTATTATTGAGTATTTTATACTTTTCTTTTTTAAATTCTTAAAATCTTCATTTTTAAAATATTATAATATTTATATTTCCATTTGCGAAAACTTCACAATGGTTTATATATGTATGATATAAATTGTAAGAGTTTATGATATAAGTATTTTTTTTTTGTTTTTAATTTTTTCTTTTATTCCTAAAAATAAGTTTCAATTGTTTATTTAGTAAAAACATCATTTTTGCTCTGATTTAATATTACAAATATTAATTAAACAGGAAATACATGACATTTATTATTGCATTGAAAGTCTAATCAAATTAAATATTGCGTGTTATTATTATTTTTTTGTATTGAATAAGCCCCCCAATATATGTACTATTCAAAAATTAAATTAAATTATTGAAGATGTGTTTAAATCTTTATTGTTAAATTGAAATTTTGTAAGCACATTCACGTATCATATTAAAAATAGATGTCTAATATGTAAGCTCGTAATATTTTATTTATATGGCGGGTTGAAGATTATTACTTAGTGTTTAATTCAATGTGATTTAAATGTGCTCGAACAAAAACTTGCTTTTCATAAAAAGCAAAATTATAATATATTATCACGATTTTTATTCAATATTAACATATTTAATTTTTTGTCATAATATTATGATTCAAGTTGATCTTCAATATTTTTATTATGCATTTTCTGCTTTTTATAAATTTATACGTTATCAAGAGTTTGAAAAAACTATTCTATACTATTTGTTCAACATGTAAAAAATTCTTGATATTTTTCACTATTTACATGATTTTCTTAATATTTCTTAATACATATAATTCCTGATCAGGTTCTGTACACTTTCATGAAGTACATAAAATATAATATATGTACATTATTTTATTGATTGAAAATGCATCTCTTTTAAATCAACTATGGATTAATTTGCAAAACGAAAGAAAGAAAAAAGAAATACTGTAAAATTTGAAATATCTTATGATTTCCTTGCAACAAGTTTATTTTGTTATTTTATTCTTAGTTTATCAATAATATTATCTTTATTCATTTGGTTGATTAGATACTATAGTATTAACGTTTAATAAAATAACTTAAACGTTGAAAAGTTTTGTCTCGTTTTAAGTTTTTTTTTTCATTCCCTACTTAATAAAGTTTTATAGTTCTCTGTTTTGCCTACTAAAATAACTCAACTAGCTATTTTGAATCCTATTATTTTTGTTTTTTGAAAATTGTATTACTATAATGTCTTACCAGTTCGAATACGCTTAGATTTTTCTTAATGTATAATCTACAATAGCAATCTTAATACAAATTAATCTAAACTGTTTTAATTATATTGGTTTTAAATTTTTTTCTCGTAAATTTTGTTTTTTTTTTTTATTTTTTCAATTTAGTCTTATTTTCGGAAATTAAATCTTTTATATTTTCTTTTACTCTAGTTCAGTTCAATCGAATGGAATATTGTTTCAAATATTACTTCTTAAATTCAAATTTTTAAAATATTTTATAAATACCTTGAAACTTTCATTTGATTTTAAATGAGCGGTGGTTCATCATTTTCATGGCTCATCATAACATCTTCATAAAATGGTCTCTGCCGGCGTCTTCTCATTTGAAATTCTCTAATTCTTCGAATGATTTCAAGACGTTTTAATCCATATGCTGCACCAATTACTAATAGTACGATAAATAATGGTATGAGAATACCACCAACAATATGATGATCTGTTTCAGGTATTGAACGCGCTGGAAGACTGACTGGAGTTGACACTTTCGAACTAACTAGGACAACCCTTTGTGTAATTGTTGCTTGCGTTAATTTGGTTCTTGTGTTAGCTGTACGATTATTAAATATGCAGTATTCACTATCATTTTTATATTTGCTATTTAAATCATAATTTGGTTCACATTTACATTCACTAGTGGTTTCATTGATTTCTTCACAAATTGAATGAGGAGGACAACCTTTTAATGAATGCGTATTACAGGTTTTCACTAAAATATATGCAAAAATTTTTATTAAAAATAAAAAACAATATAATATTATTTTGAATATTAAAATATCTTATTAATTTTTAGGTTAAAATTTTTAAAGAAAATTTTCATTTTTTTTTTCTTTTTTTTTAAATTTTCCGCAAACTTACACTTTACAGCACTATTACAACTTAAATTACTAATTACAAGAATGATAAGGGAAATATGTAAATTTTGCATTTTTACAATTTTATCTGCAATTACATAAATTATTTTCAATTAATTTTATTTTTTTTCTTTTAACTTAAAATAGAATATTCTTTATACTAAAATCAATTCTTTTGTGTATATGCGTTTGATGGTATGTTTTATTGTTTATTTTCGGGTTAACAATTTAAGCCAGAGATCAATTGTGAATTCTATGCAATTGTGCTACAAAGTTTCTAAATAGTACTAAAGACAATCACAATAATAACTTATTGCCATCGTATAATTTTCGACAAAAGGCCAAAATTTTTTTAATAAAATTATATAACTATTCAAGACTGGATAACAATAGTATAAATTTTAAAAATTTGAAAATAATAAAAATTCCGAAGTTATTGAAAGTTAACAAGCAGTCCAGCATACGTCAATAACAATATATGTAAAAAGTAAGATTTATTTAATCTGTCTAATAAAAGTCGTACATATATGTAAACACTGTTTAATATCAGATTTTGCCCGACGGCAAATAATAGACTCATATAGTTATTAGTTATCTATTATCTATGAATAGAAATTGTTCTCAAATATTCAAATTGTTAAATTTTGACGTAAAAATGGGGTCCATTAGATAAATTCAGTCTGACAGGCGTCATAGACATAGATTAAATCTAAGCTTTTTTAGGGCATAAAAACATCACCTAGCGTTTTTAAAAAGCTTTCTTTATGTTTTTGAAAGAACGTGAAATTAGAAAAAATTGATTATAATTTTTAAATGATGATTATTCCTTTAATGATACTACAACGTTGTCAAAGCCTTAAAATATAAGGCTATTGCATGATTTTCAAAAACCTAAAAATATCTAAAGCTGTCAAAATGTTCAACCACCAAGTAACCCATTGATAACATACATACGTTTAAAACGTTTTTCTTACTGCGTATATTCTTAAGTAGTGTGTTTCAACTTGTAATTCTCTGAAAGTTCATTAAAGTATTTCCAGCAAAAACTTTCATATTACTTTTTTGCAGCTGTTTACTTAATGTATGAATCTATGAAAATTTTTTAATGGAAGAATTAAAGCTGGTTCTTTTCATCAATAATTTTTTGGCACCAATAAAATAATAAATGAAGTCAATATAAAATTTTTCGTGAAATAGTTGTGATCAGCTGTTGTAGTTTTATTTGTTTAGTTAATTTTTGTAATTTGTCATTTTCAAATTGAGATGCAGTTTTTGGAATTTTTAACATTTCTGTGTTGATGAACAGTATGGTGAACAGTATTTTTACATAAAAGACTGACAAGAATTTATTTTCATGTAAATGAATCTTTTTCACTCACAATTCATGATAATTGTCAATCTTTGATTAAGGTATTGCCAGTTTGTACTTATCCCACTTGCTTTAATCTTGTTTCTTTATTTTTTTTAAATAAAATTAAAAGAAAACTGAAACTATAAATAAGCGAGTCTAAAGAAAGTTTTCAACTGAAATAAAGCATAGTAATTTTCTTAATATTCAGTGAAAAAAGATTCACAAATAACAAACAGAAACAGAAAGTAAACACTTAGCAACTATAATAATTGAATTAGTTGTCGAACTGGATATATTGGGACATACTAGATCCCATCCCTAAATGAAAATTCAAAATAGCTTTCATAATAGTCTTATAATAACTTTATTAAAAAATAACTGACTTATGTTTTGACGAGGTCAAGATATATGTGAAAAATAATACTAGTTGTCAAAAAATTAAATAATAATTTTTGATAAAAAAAAAGCACTTTTTCGAGAGAAAGCTTATTATTTTTTACCAAATTGAATGCTTTAAAATTTAATTCGATTTAGTTAAGGAACCATATTATACAATCCAAATTTACAAATTTGTAAAATGACTACATCTAAAACAATTTTGCTGTTTCAATTATGAAAGTGCTGCCAGTGTGTTTAAAAAATTGCATAAACTAACGCACCCCTGTAACTTTTAAGTTGGAGTTGTCAAATTATAGTACAATTTTACAATTATCATTTTTTTTGTGTTCTCCAAAATTTTGAAAAGGAGAAGATTTAAGTTCATCAAAGATGACTGACCACGGTTAAATACAAGAAAAAGTTTTTTTTTTGGTTGGAAAATTATTTAATTTAATATGGAAAAAAAACTCCTCGGAACGTCGAAACATAAAGTGAAATATCAATAAAATAGTCGAATGTGCGAAAATATCGAAATAATATTATTTAAAATTACGTAAATTACTCGAAAAATTTTGAAAATTGCCGATAAGAAAAGAAAAAAAAAATTGTGTAGGGAATAGTGACGACGAAAAAAAAATTCTTATTTGATTGGAAAAAATTCTTGAAAAAATTTTGAAAGAATTTAGAAAACTAATGTTAAAGAATTAAATTTTTTAAGTGAAATTAAATATATTTACTAAAACCAAATAATATAAAATTATATCAGATAAGAATTAAACATAAGGTGGAAAAAATACATTTTTTTTTTGATTGTATGAGCTGTGGAGAAGTTGAAGAAGAAAAAAAAATATTTTTTGGGCATAATTTGCTGTGTGGCTTTTTTATGTTAAAAAATTTTGCACAATAAAAAGAGATAAAATGTTAATTTCAAAATGCTCGAATACATAATCAATAGTAAAGTGTTAGAGTGAAACGAATATATAAACGAATATTTTTATTTTCCTTTTTTGACAACAAATTGTAAATTTGACAGTTGCTGGAATGAAAGAGAAGCTCATTGAATGTCAAAATTATTTATTGTTTTTGTGTAAAGAAATTTGTTGAGAGGAAAAAAAAATTTTTTTTTTTTATTTTTAAATAAGAAAATCTTTGATAAAATTTACAAGAAAAGAAAAACAAAAAAATTAATTTAAAAAAGTTCCTGTTTTATTTTAAAATTTATTAAAAAATAATAGGTAAGATCTAGCTCTTTCTTTTCAATAAAAATTAATTTATTAAAAAAAAACATGATTTGAGAAAATCCAAAAAAAAAAAGTAAATTTTTATAATGTAACTAGATTCCTAAAGTAGTGAATGACTTCAACTTCCCTTTCCTCATAAGGAATGTATAATATTATTGAGAGAAAAAAATTTTTTTTCCAAGCGAAAATTAATTACAAATTGAATTTTTTTTTAAATATTTTAGTAAAATTGTAAAGTTTTTTATTTAACAAATTTTATCATAATTTTTTTTAATTCAACCTAATGTTTTGTCAACCTAATTTATTTTGTGTGTATGTATATGAATTTGTCGGTAATATTAAAAAGACCGATTCTGGATGTAAAATGAGTCATTCTTTAATTTTAATATAATATATGTATACAGTATATTATTTGTGTACATACATATGTACACTATATAATTTTCTTATTTATAGTTCGTGTACCTACCTGTGTATGCACATAAATTACGCACATACTTATTTAACTAACATTCATGTGCAAGTATTGCTAAAATTCCGTTTTTAAAATGAAGTCAATTTTATAATTGTTGCTTCTTAATTTAGTATCTACCTTCATGTTTTACTTGCTAAATTGTAGTTCAAATATCCATTAAGAAAATAAAAGAGTTAGTACGATCAATTTCATAACTTTTTAAGAGCTATTTAACACTAGGCAGTTACATCCTCCTATTAATGTATGTATGTAATAGGGAAACCTTCCCTTTGTTTTTCTACAGATGCTCGTCCTTATACACGTATCACTTACAATTTTGAATTAATTAGAAATTATTTTTAACTATGGTAGGATGTTATTACATTACATTAAAGTTCTTATTTTTGACGTCTTAGTAAGTATTTTTAGGTATAAAACGTGTATTTACCTATGCCTAGGTAAACTAGATACTTAACAGTTGTATAAGTTCTTATTAAATTCTTTATTAAAATAATTACTTATGAAAATTTAAAAAAACAAAAATAAATTGAAATAGAATGACGTAGGTGGTGGATAGGTTTTGAAGATAGCTACTAAATATCGATTAAATTTTATAGTTGTAGTTAAAATCTACTTATATTTATTTATTTTTCTGAATTAGTTTATCTTTCTATTTATTTACTTATTTTGAAAAAAGAAATTTTCTCTACTTATTGTAATGCGTAACTTATAAGTATTTTATAGTTATGGTTTATTGAAGAAAATTGCACACATTTTCATTTTATGACCTTTTAAATTAAGGTCCGATTAGAAAATAAGGATTATATTTTGGTTCTTATTTATCTATTTATTTTTCTTGTTATATGTAACGCGTTATTTTATATATTTACACATATATATTATGTATTTAAGACATTTATATTGTGTCATTATAATTCAATATTTTTCTTCATTATTTTAAATACCATCAAGTTTTTATTTTAAGGTTTAAGTTCAAGTTTAGACATCATTTTGCAAAAGTAGAAAAGTGATAGGGCAGGTAACGAAAAAATTTATGCTTCAAGTTTTAAATTTAAACAACTTATTCAACCAGTTAATTGAACCAACTTATAAAAATTCGAGTATGTATCTGGCGTGCTATCTGCTACTTCTTATTTATTCTTATTAATATTTAATAGTTTATTAATTTTTTTCATTAAATAAATTAAATATAACAAGATCCTTCATAAATCCTTTCTATTTTCTATATTACTATGTAAAAAAAAGTATTAACAAAAATAAATCTAATCAAACATTAAAGTTTAAATAAGACTTAAACTCAATAATATTTTAGCTTAACTAATTTCAAACTAATAAAAATGTTTGCAGAAACATATATCACACTTACATATGGTTATATATATGATATACATATGCACATATATATATTTTCTATAATCTATAACATAAATATTAAAATTGCTTTGTACGTACACATTGAGGAAATATTAATAGAAAAACCTATGTATGTACATAGATGACTTGTTTATATAACAACAATAAGTATACAAATTATACATATAAGTACCTAAATATATAAGTATATGTATATATAATTATTTACTTAAATATATTATGTTTATTCCCAATTAAGATTATCTTTATTTTTATTTCCAATTCATTTCTATTAAATAATTTATAAAAAGAGATCCATTTTCTAAATTTAAGATAGACAAATTTATGGTCAAATACTAACTAAAAAATAAGTGAACCTAGTAAGTGAATGAAAATTTTGGCAACATTATGTAAATAGCACCCTACTCACCTACCTATAATCTAGATATTTAGTTAAAAATTATGTAGAAAAAATTTACCCAACTGCTTTGAAACACACATAAATTTTGATGGATTGCAATTCGAAATCGAATTATTAATTTTTTTTTTTAAAATATTGAAACATATTTGACTTTTTTTGCGAAAAGTTTATGGTAATATAACATTTTTCTTCCACATTTTGTTAAAAATTAAATGACTAAATAATTTCAAATTTCATAATTAAAGAGCTTAAATAGTAAATTTGTCTATATTTTTGTGTTTGATTGAATTCAATGTCAATTTTACGATTTCTCCATAGCTATCTTGCATCATTAACTGTGGAAAATAATCTATTCTTGGGAATTATCTAATAATTATCAGATAACTAAGATCTTTTAATTTGATTCGAACATAATTCAATGATTAATAAACAATTTTTAATAATATTAGGTAAATCTAAACAAAAAATATTTAATTATAATAGATAATCGCTTAAATTTTTGCAAATAATTACTTACAAATTCACAAAATTTTGTTTTAATATACTTGATTGTTGCATAGTTTGTAACCAGATAAAAATATATACTTAAAGAAGTGTAACTAAGTACTCAGTCCAAGCATAATTGAATGCATAAAATGTAAATTAAGTAATATAAGTACAGTAAAATTAAATAGGTAATGTAGTCGCTATAATGAGAACACAATGATTTAGCAATTTTTTCCCATAATTTCTACCATTAATAAATTATATACAAATTTTTTTTTAATTTCTTTATTGCATCAAAATGTTGAGAAAACTGGTTATATATACATACAACTATATTCACTTTATGACATTGTTCATGTTACAGCAAGGTTACATAAAATTAGAAAATTTTTAACATAAAAAATTTCTTAATAAATTTTTTTGTTTTAATTAGAAATTTTTATCTTTTTTTAAATTAAAATTTTCTCACATTAATAAGTATGTACTCGTAACTTGTTTTAATAAATTACAAAAAAAAAAACTATTATAAATACCTATACGTACTTATAGCTTTATACGTATAACACTTGTTCGATTCCGAAATTTTAGGAAAAGTTTTTCAGTATGACCGCCAAATTTGGATTTCAATCTGATTTAACAATTAATATAAAATTTATTTAAAATTTTAATTAAGTATAACTTAAGTAAGCTAATTTTTTTATATTCTTATTATATTTTAGAGAATAATCAAATTCAAGTAGGAATTTGGGCAATAATAAGCAGGACTTCGAATATTTTCAAACTAAAAATGATCTATTCCTCTTATCTATTGCTAAAATTTAAATTAATGAAAAAGCACCTTATACAATATTATCTACATATAATGTATATTATATGTTATTACACATTGTACATATATATATATATATATATATATATATGTACTTATATATTTAAAGTACTTTTAGTTAATTGAATTCTTTCTAAGACAATAACATTTGATTTCTTTGAAATATTTTAGAATTTTTTTTATGTTTGTTTTTCATTTTTAACAAATCCTTACAAATTATTTGCCAACATATTTCTGATAAGAATATAAAAGTATAAAAATTTGTAAAAATGTAAATATTTATGTACATATATGAGTAAATATTATATTTATAAGTATGTATTTTCGACACAATTAAATAATTTATTTAATAGAGAGAGAAAAAATTTATTTTTTGAATTTAAAACTTTCTTTTTAAAAATTGAAGAAGATAAATTGAGGCTGTATTTTAGGTCTATACATACTTATATCTACATACATACATGTATTTTATATAATTGTATACGTACATATATCTTAAATTAAGGGTTGCCAAACCTATAGGATAATTACACAAAACTGGTGAATTTTTACTGCTATCATGTTAAATCTCAGGTAATTTATGTTTTGTATAAGTGATTTTGGTGAATTTTATGACTTTATGTTCAAAAATTATTAATTTTAGAGGAATAAGACAATCAAAAGAAAATTTTCTACCCTTAAGAATTTTAGCAAATTTATTTTAAATTTTGTTTTAAATGAATTTAAATGTTAGTTAAGGCTGCCCATGCGCTATTCCTGATTTTTAAATCAAAACTATCTGATTTTTGTACGACACTAATGAATGCGCATCCACTATTTAACTTGGTCGTTCAACATGTTAAAAACATGTTAATCAAAAAATGCGTTGATGGGCTAAATTGAATAAGGGATTGGCGCAGCATTACAGAAATCGAGTATATAATTTAAATATTTTTTCGGATAATTTTGCTTTTTCGATTTGGCAACCTTCTTATGTTATACGAGTTAGTTGTTGTTATATAAGTAATACAGAAAAAGTAAATAAGTATGTAAGTTGTATAAATATTTAATTAAAAGTTTTTATAATTTAATCAAATATTTTAGATCTTTTGGATACCAAATATTTCAATATCTTGCTTATTTGCTAACAGTAATAAGCATTTAAACATATTTATTTCAAATTTTTAAAAGAATTTTAACAAAATGAACTATAAAATAAAGGGTAAAATTCAATTTAGTTCTCAACATTTTTTTTAGTCAGTCTATAAAGCTATGAAATTGCTTACACAATTATTGAAATGAAAATTTTCGAATATATTGAAATAGGAACCGATTTTATAGATTGAAATTGAAATCGGAAAAATAATTTGTCTGAAATTAAGCCTTTTACTTGTATTGTTTTTCAACTTCTGTTCTCTAACAATCTGTTATTTCAGAATTGTAGAAAGTTC